TTGTTTTTTTCATGCTGGGTAGAGCTCCTGTTGATGGTTTTCCACACAATTCTGAGCATGTTACCAGCATGTAGACAGGAAAAGGGACCAAGAGTTGTATTAAAAAAAAAAATTATAATTCATTTCAGGATTTGGCTGTTCATCAACAAAGAAGGGGGGAGTTTACAAAACATTCTGCATTAGTCCAGCTGTAATGGTAGTGACTCCAAAAATGTCACCCTTAATCCTTAGCTCTTAGAATCCCAGAACAACTTGAGTTGGAAGGGACCTTGAAATCATTCAGTTCCATCCTCTGCCATGGGCAGGGACACTTTCTACTAGACCAGGTTGCTCCAAGCCCCATCCAGCCTGGCCTGGAACACTTCCAGGGATTAACATCCTTATTGTTTCTGCCCAAAAAGAGACAAGAAACAAACAACTTCAGCTTTGTATCAGGAAAAATAAGATGTGGAGGGCTCTGACTTTGGTCTTCCTGTTCTGTCACAGACATCCCTTGTGGCCATGAGAATGGCACCTTCAGGCCCAATGTGCATTTACACACTTAAATTACACTAAATAGGATTTCAAAAGCCTCCATCCACATCTAAATTCCTTCACAAATCTTGCTCTTGATCTCTCCAGCTACATCTGTATTATCAAATCAGCTCTAAGCTGTACCAGTGCTAGAAATCCACCCCACTGGTTATTCTTGATAAGTAAAGTCCAGCTCTGCTCTGGCTTCCAGTTCTCCCACCAGTAACCTCAGGCATGGGAGCTGGGTGGAGTGGCTGGCTCACACTCCACATCCCCAGCCCATGTGCATGAGGGCACAGAGCCAGTACCTCCAAGGTTTCAGGACTAAACCACAGGAATGCAGCAGCAGCACTAAAGATGCAGAAGTTCTCTGTGGATGAGAACAGCTTTGTTCACCTCCCAGACAGGGAATGAGGGCTTCTATTAAACTGCACTTACAGACCCTGGAATGGGGCCATCCAAGGAAATAACTGCTGTTGAGTGGATTGCTTCTACTTTTCTATTCTCTCACTAATACAGCTATACAATTTGTTTTTTGTACTCCTGAAGCAAACAACTGCACATTCACAGTTGGAGGTAGGGTATAAATATTGTCTCTGGCTGATCCCTTGATCCTGCTGTCCTTGCTGAATTAATCACACTCGCAGATCAGTCCAGGATTTGTTGCTGGCAGAGCAGATGGCCAGGCAGACTGCAGTTGTGAGCAAGGCAGGCACGTTCTCCTTCCAATTATCCAGAAGCATTTTCCAACAGTAGATATTTAAAATTAGACATTATTTTGAAGAAATGCTAGATCTCTTTTGTTCCTTCTTCAGCTCAACAGGGACAATAATCCCTGATTTTTGCTCTGCTTCCATCCTCTAAGGCTCAGTCAAAATAGAGGGTGGCTGGTGCCCCTTTCCCTTTCAAGTGAATGTTTTCTGCCCCATTTTCTTCTGGTGCCTTCTCGTTTTCCACAGAAACGAAGTGACAACACCAGCTGCTGTTTGGCACAGGGATTTCATGAGTGTATTATATTAATTGCTGAGCCGAGGGCTCCAGGAAAGGGAAGAGAAGCTGCATTCATGGGGGTCATGGCATGGAACAGCAGGACTGAGGGTGACAGTGTGTGCCTTTCAAACAGCCTGGACAGGGCTTCCCTGTCGCAGGAGTAAATTTGCCGTGAAAGACAGACGTGCTGTTTTCCCAGTGTTTACATCTGTTCTGCATTCAGAGTCCCTCTGGATGATAATTGCTCCTGTCTCCCCTCTGTCCCCTGCTGAGGAGCTGTGAGAGCTGCCAGGGGAGTTTCAGCCCAGCTCCATCACGTTCTGTGGGACACACCTCACGTTGCTCCAGAGGTGAGCAGGGTTAACCCAGAGCGTGTTTGCAGTCCCTGAAGGAATGAAACACGACAGGACGGTCCAGAGGAGGGGACTGTGTCCCTGCTGTGGGACACAATGGGCCACTCTGATTAACCACATCTATGCAAATGCATCGAAATCATTCCCCCTCACTTCATGGCAAGAGAAAAGACAGGGAGGTTGGACAGAGGCTGCACGGGATGCTGCACACACACACACTGCATTGGATAACAGCCCGTTATCCACACGGGATCACAGCATCCTAACAGCACCCAAAGGAACAGCAGACATGGAAAAAAGCCTGCAAGACCTGGGAGGGGAACAGTGCCCAAGTTTACACAGATGTCAACTTAGAATCATGGAATCCCAGAATTGTTTGGGTTGGAAAAGACCTTAAAGATCATCTTGTTCCACGCCCTGCCATAGCAGGGACACCTTCCACTATCCCAGGCTGCTCCAAGCAAGGTTTTGGCAAGGTTTTGTCTTTCAGTGACTGAGATGCCATTCAGGAGCCAGATGTGCTGAAGCAGCTGTGCATTTTCGCCTTCACAGAGCTCTCTCACCTGGGAGCAAAGGGGTTTAGTTGTGTCATGTCTAATCTGTGGTCTCTTAATGCTGTTCTTTGGTGTTGGCAGAAACAATCTATGTCAGGTACTGAATTCCTTGGATTATATTTGTCAGTTTTTTCAATAACAGAGGAATCAAAGTCTCCAAAGATCATGACAGGATGAAACAGCAAGAAGGCAAAAAAGGAGGGCTTAGATCAAATTAATGCAGTGGTCTCTTGGGCAGGAAAGAGATGAGCCAACAACTGTGGGAAGTTAAAAATACTGAGTTCCTCTGTCTCCTTCAAGCCTTGGGGTCTCCTTTACACCAACACTGTTCAGGGGACACCTGCACTCTGTATTGTATTCCACAGCTCCAGGTTCTGCCAGGAGCCTTGTGGGAGAGGTGGAACAGGGAAGTTTATGTGATATTCCAGGCTGCCTTGCACCTCATCTGGAGGCAGTGGGAGGTCTGTGACACAAAGGTGCAAAGCAGCAGAGCACAGCTTTGCAGTATTCCAACAGCTCCTCTCCTCCCCATCACAGCAGATAGAAACAGGAATTATTTTAGGTACAATAACAAATGAGGGAGCAGTCGAGAGTGAAGACATGCTGCAAGTCCAACACAATCTCCAGGAAGATGAGAAAAGGAGGAAGGTCATACCAAGCATTACCAGATATTCCCTGTCACACAGGAACCACTTTGCAATTAAAACAAGGCAACACAACCTCTTAATGAAACATTTTATTTAAACCAATACAAGCACCATGCTTAGCAAAAAAAGATTTGGTTTAAAGTAAACATGCAATGTGAAATAGCAGAGACTAAACAGCGTATGGAAGTTGTTATTGGTATTTTCATGGAACTGCCAAATTCTCAAATCTGGCTGTGAACCTCTCACACCTTTTAAGACAACGAGTCTGAACCATAGAACAAACACAAGAGTTTCACTGAGCCCCTTCTCATGTCCCACCACGGCTCCATTTCATAGCCACTACATGTATATATAAAAAAATGTTCATGATGGTTATTTTTGGAATGCACTAAAGTAAGGAATTCAATTCTCTTGCTTCTGCCTGTTTGAGTCAGACCCCTGTCATCAGTTTCACATCATTTCTGGACCAGCTATTTTACAGTTAAGGATACAAAAATGGAATCCTGGTACAAATGCAAAGATGCTCCTTTGGAGAAGTGAAAAAGGTGTCAACACCTGCATTATTGCCTCCTTTAAAAGATCAGAACAGTATTGATGATACTAGAAATACACTTAAACCATCAAATACCAGCATTTACATTATTTTGTTAAAAATATTCAAAACACTACAAATCTATTTTATGGGCTGACATGCAAACTCATGCTTTAATTCAGCTTATCATCAATGAATAGGATTACAAGAGCTGTATCCCAGCCATCTAGTCAATATTTAAAGCAAACCTGATTAATTGTGGCAGAAGTCTCCCTCAGAGAGACCTTTAACTCCAGACCAAGGATTTTATGGCCAACTTACTAACTCCTGAAAAATAGGAGCTCCCAATGGAAAATGCTGACTCTCAGACCTTTAGCTACAAAGGCTCCCCTAGGCTAATTTATGTTGTCCTTTAGATGTCTCTTTAGAGGTCTGAAAATTCAAGAGAAATGTGTGATTACAGATGGGCAACTCACCAGCAAAGCCCAGCTGGAACATACTGGCCTGAACGTGGACTCATCTGCCTCCCACTGAGCCTATGGGGGCAGCAGCACAGAACACACAGTTCTACAGATAAGGTGGGGAAAGGAATTATGAAAACAAGGATTATTTGTGCAGGAAAGACCTGGACATAATAATGTCTTTGTTTAATCAAGTGCTAGCACTACCTGCATCTCAAGAGCCCAGGACAATTAGCAGCAGCCAGTTGTGTCAAAACACTGCATTAAGACCAAGTAGAACACAAACAAGGCTGGAACAGCAAACACCCTCTGCACACTCATCCTCCCAGAACCTGCAGCTGCTTCCACAGCTCAGCCAGGGAAGGGAGGAACAGCTGCCAGGCAGGGCTGGCTGAAGAGTAATACTGGTGGGCTGAGCAGCATCAAGAGCACCTTTCAGGAGAAACTGGGCTTCAACGCTCTCATGAGGATCTGTTTGCTCCCTGCAAGGCTGGAGGGGCAGCACCCAAGGCAGAAAGTGCTTAAGTGAGGCACGAGAACATGTCAAGTGGAAGAACTTGGCTGAAGATTCGGCTGTAAGGAGCAATGTTTTCTTGGCAGAAGGTGGAGCAATCCAGAGATGAAAGGTCAAATTCGATCATGTCATGCAGCAGCTCCTCCCTTCCCTCCTGATACAGGCCTCTTGTACAGTTATTTTTTTGCAGACCTGTGCAGGCAGCAGTTGGCTGCTGGCAGCCCACCAGTGTACAAAGTACAAGATATGATTAATCCAGTTTTTCCCCACTGCAAATCAAGCTGAACATTCCAAGCAGCAGCTTCCCTCTCGCCCACACTGTACTTTGACATGCCTCACCTTTAGTACAATCCCAAAAAAAACCTCAAAAGGGATTCTTGCTGTTTCCAGACTCATGCTTGGAATGACACTATCCTTTAAGCCAAAGTCTTATTTATACAATGCTTGTCACAAAAGACATTGTTTTTATTGATCTGCAGTACAGAATGATCAAGCAACAGTTTCATAATCAACATTTCTTCGTCCAGGGAAATGAAATTGTTTTTCCAGTTCAGTACGTTAACACAGAAATTTAATTACAAGCACTTCTCTCCCGCACCAAAAGATCAATTTAATTGGATCATTCCAACATGTATTTGGAAAAGCTCCTCTCAAGTCAGATTTATATACAAATAAATGAGCAATAACATCAAACTAGGAAGAGATTTACCAACACTGAAGACCTTTGCAAATTAATTCCTTGTGATCTCGCAGGAATTAAGTGTTTTAACACTAACACAGCCTATGTTGACTAATGAAAAATAACCCCACTTGCAGCAAAGGTTTCACAGCATGAAATACTGGCCTCCAAATTTAACACTGCATTCCTTCCCAGAGAGCAGATTGGTTGGGGCAGCTATATTTTAAGGTATGTTATCAACAGGAAGCTGCTCTTACGCAGACACTCGTTCAGTAGCACAACAAACACTCACGAGCAAGGTAGGGAGAGTCTGTCCCATGAGTGCTCCTCCTGCCACAGCACGGGCTGAACGTGTCCCACATCAGACAACTACTCTATTCAATAGAAAACAGACCTGTAAAAAGACTGGTCATTTATAAAAGTTAAATACTATTTTCACATTAGATCTGCTGTTTCAAAGAGATGAACTGTTAAGTAGATGAAAATCAAATGATCACTTATGCAAAAGCTTCATCTGGAATGTAATTTTGACCAAAAAGCTGTTAAGAAAGTTAGAGGTTGTAATTAAAGTACTCAAAAGCTACGTGTGGCCAACTTTTGTAACAAAAGAGATATAAATTGTTCATTATCATGAAATGCTTTAACCTCCTGACTCCTACAAATGGAGCAGATGATTGGAATTTCAAAGAAAATGAGGTTGGCTTTTTGTTTTAACAGATGTCAACTGCAGCACGAGGCACTAGGAACAAATATTACTTGGATTCTTTAACAAAGTTTTTACCAAATTTGTAAGAAGTGGCAGTGTAAAATTCTCAAGTCCTTTTAAAGCTAACAAATGAAAGGCACACAGTATCACCAGGTGTTCAGATAACAGGAAATGAGCAGAGGTAAACTTCTCAACAGTGTCAGAATAGAGATGCAAGAAGAAATCTGGTACAAGAGGAACCAGAGTTGTAGTTCAGCCCTTGGTTATCAGCTAGTTCCTGTGAGACTGTATTAGCATGAGAACTGGACAGTCAAAGCTTTGCCCTGAAATTTAGAAAGATTGACTCAGGCAACTGAGGAATTACTGGAACGACAAAAATTAGTTCCAAGAATTTGAGACAGTTCACATCGACTCGATAGGAAGATAAATGGATGGATTTGCTGTACGAGGATTTTGACTATTTAATACCAAACAAATGCTTCCAGGGAGTAGTTTTCAAAACTGAGAAGACATTAAGTCAAAAAAATCTGGTAAGTGACAGTACATAAATTCTGCATATAAATGGCTAATATGTGTCATAAGGATGCATTTGTAGCTCAGAAAAAGTTAGCGTCAGCTTCCAAATGATGTTTGTACACAGTTATAAATCCAGAACTGAACTATTTTAGTTACAGAAATATTAGTCACAGGAGTGCAAAAGGAGTCCCTGCAGAGGAGTATTCCCTTTTAGCAGGTACAAATAAGGAAACACCTGCAAAGATTTGTTACTTCAAGGAGACAGACCTGCTATTCTTTGCACAAACTCTGCACAAGAGAGATACTGCAGGAGACAGCTGTGAATACAGTGCATTGCTTGGATGTAAGTATTCATGTCTGGTTCCAGTATCACCAGGAGGGTACATAAATACTTAGAACAGAGGTTTTCCTTAGTGGAAGAAGCCCAGTTTCTCACGCAGCCATTCTTCAGTTAGGTCTTCTGTATTTCTGATTTCGAATACCTAAACAAAATGGCATTGCATCAATTCCTGAGGGATGGGGCTGGAAAGGGACAAGCACACAATGCAAGCAGCACCTTTTCCACACGTTGTCTGAGCTGCAATAAACCACTCACCAACCTACAATTTTCAGGTGCTTTCTTGAAAGCATCAGATCAGAGGAAAATACACAAGACTAAGTGGCAAAAATCATCAATAACTTGAAGAAGAATCTCATAATTGCTATTACTAGGCTTCACTCTTGTGCCTTAAGAATATGAGAAAAGCACATGTACTACATTTTATAATAACCCTGAAGTGGCCCCATCTCACAAGCATTATCTCAGCAAGATGGTATTTTGAAGAATACAAATTAATTTCATATCTGGGTTGATTTAAGCTCAAAGTTCAGCAGTTTTGCTCAGTACAACACACAGTTATTTTTTCTTTGAACTGAAATAAATTCATACTATGCAGCATCATATTGTTTTACCTGTAAAATAGCTCAAAATAGAAAACTTGGGAAAAAACCCCAACAAAATCCTAAAAGCATAGAATGGTTTGGGTTGCAAGGGACCTTAAAGACCATCTAGTTCAAATCAATCCCCTGCCATGGGCAGGGACACCTTCCACTATCCCAGGGTGCTCCAAGCCCCATCCAATCTGACCTGCAACATTTCCAGGGATGGGGGAGCCACAGCTTCTCTGGGCAAAACTCCCCAAACAACCTAAAAACTACTAACCCAAAGCTCTGTGAAATCTTTAATGAACCTTTAAAGCAGCCTTGAAGCAGAAAACAAGGTCCAAAACACCAATATACTCTTGACATTCCATGTGGGCAAGTAACTGGTTAGGGTTTGGGTTTTTTTTTTTAATAGTCTGAACAGAAACTATGTTAATTATGCATTGATTACTGGAGTCCACGAGATGCCCAAAGACAAAATGCAGGCAATTTTACAAATTCACGTGCCTTCAAAATGGAGAAACCCCAAAAATCAGCGTTACAAGAACAGAACAGCTTAACAGGAGCCAAGCTAAAGTCACTGGAAACTGATGAGAGAACTCAGCTGAGTCATGAGCAAAAATCACACCAGGAGGAAGTCACAGCATGAGTTAAAATGAAACACAGCTCAGCAAGTGGCAAGAATAAAGTACATTTGAAGAGCAAGCAGGCAACCCCAACTGGGGACAGCCTGTGTTCTTAGGCTTCAGAAGAAAGATGAATGATCATGAACCTCTACACCCAGTCCTGGACTTGCATTCAAAACCCATTTAGGCTGAATTTCTCCCATTTCAGAAGTGACAGGAACTCCAACTGAGCTACTTCCCAGGCTTTCACCTTCTTCTCACCAACCCTTTCCTCTTGCTTACTGAAAACTGTCTTCCTCATTTCTATTACAGTTATCAGGCTGCCAAGATGCAGTTTCAACAGATCAAAAAAAAAATATTCCTTGGGGCTGTGCTGACTGTTTCCACCATCTTCTGCTGCCTTCCTGTTGACTCCTGTCAACTTGAGGTCTAATTTAAAACAGAGGTGTCTTTTCTTACAAGGTACAGCTGGAAGAGACAGAAGCTGGATGGAGCTTGGAGTGGGAGGTGTGGGAGGTGTCCCTGCCCTTGGCAGGGGGTTTGAACAAATGAACATGAGGGTCTCTTCCAACCCAAGCCATTCTATGATTCTATGAATTCACAGTTCTCTTACTGGCCCAGCTGACATTTTTACTGGGATGTTAAAGGGCTCAGCAGGATAAGGAAGACCTAAAGGCAACAGTGCTGTGGGAAGTGCTGAAGTCATTTCACATGGTATGAAAATCTGAAGCAGCTACTGACTCTATTAAGCTTCACTGCTTGAGGCAAAAAGAAGTCTAGGTGCCAATTAAGCCAAGATTTCAAAGATCTCCAAAATAAAAAACAGGTGATACCTCTTTTCTAGAATATACACACAGCCAGGCCTAGTGAATGCAGTGATTTCTTCTGGTGTCAGTACTGGAAGAACCCAACACAGGAAGAAATTGTTCATCACTTGGCACATGTTACTTACTCTGCAGGCTGTTCTGCAAGCATCCAGCCCCAGGAACCAGCTAAACCGATCTGTTCCACACCCCACTGAGGCTTCAGTCTATTCTTCCCATCAGTAAATTCCTCCCCCACAGCAAAGATGTCCATCCTACTGAGGGATATTTTTGTTTTAGAGAACACTGTTCCAGCTGGTGTTTTAGGGTACAGGAATCTCCACACATACTCCTCCTTCAGTCTTCCTAAATCACACTCTGCTCACTGTAATCACCAACTCTCACAAAACCCTTCTTGCCATTGGTTCAAGCAGGACAAAACAACCTACAGTGAAAGGGGAGTTATTTCAAAGGCCAGTTATACCTTAGTGAGTTCAGCTGTCTGTACAAGCTTATTCTTGCTTCCAGCATACATCATCTGCTGCTCAGGCTTACATCCTGTAGTTATGGGGGGGAAAAAGAGAGTTTGTTAAGTTATTTTGATTGCAACACTTCAAAAATAAGGTAGGGGGTTTTTTAAATAATTCAAACTGAAAGCTAAAGACATTCACAGGAAAATTCTCAGGTAACTACAGAAGAATATGCTCAGTAGTTACTAAGCCCTTTTCTATACCTAGTTACTCTAGCTCTGAGAAATGAAGGGTAAAAAACAACGCAATCAGTTTATCTTCTTCCAGGGGATAACAAGGATAATCCAGTAATACCAGCAAGATACACTACTACAATACAGAACACAGATGGAAGCCCAGGAGCAATTCAACTCTGTAAGCCCAAACCCAAGACTCAGGTTATTTGGCTTCTATTAAAATTACATGGTGCCCTGTCCAGGTAATTTGCTGTTGAGGGTTGCTGTGACACAAGCAGAGGATGCTCTGTACTGCTCTCTACAAATTTGGGATGATCCAGGATTAGAGTCTGTTCCCCCAGCACTTTCACATGCTCAGATGTGGGTTAGGGAACCCTCTTTTCCTCCTTTTCACCCACAGCTGTAACAGCCCTTTAGACTGTCCCCTCACAGCATCCTCTATTGCTGCCATTACATCCAGGCCCCCTGAGCACTCTCCTCTCAAATCCCATTCTAACCCTCTTAAAGTCTTGTTACTTTCACGGGTAGAATGACAGCAATAGGATTCCAAGATCCTCAGAAAGAACGAGGTTCCCCATGTCCTTCTGAGATTCGAGGAATTTCTTCCCTCCCAGTCACTAATGTCTGAACAGCAAGAGACAGGTGAGCAGAATCACTCAGCAACAGAGGGAGTGTCTTCCAGCCCTCCCTCCACTCACTTCCTGAGCCTTACAGGGTCATGTTTTAAGGATTCCCCAAGATCTGAGGAGTAAACAAGTTAAATTAGGCTAAACCTCTATGAGTAGATGCAGAGTGCTCCAGGCTCTGTCCTTCAGAGGGTTGCTGAGCACATTCAGGCAGACACACTTTTTGGCCAGCTAAGCAGGAAACCAACACTCCAGTTCAGCCTTCAGAAGTGGAAAAGAGAGAATCTCTTCTATCATACATCTGAAGTGCCCTAAATATGAACCTCAAAGGCAGGAAAACCTCCTTGAGAGCACTAAGCACTAGAAAAGAATATTCCCAAATTTACAACATGCAGTAGCTACCAATCACAATGTTCACTCACCAACTGGGCTGGAGAAGATAAAGCACAATGGATAGGAAACTCTTCCATCTTCATGCTGGTACTTGTAACTATACACAATAAATGTTTTTTCTGAGGTTAAAGAAACTAAGAAATCAATTATTTAGTAGGATAAAATCCTCAGTTATCAGAGCTTGATGTAGGCACAAGTCAGTGTTGCATTTTAGATGATGTTTTAATTTGGCAATAATAACCTCACTGTTCTGTTTTCACTTCCATATCTGACTTTCAGAACTGGCCCTGCCTCAATGTGAGGGCTGTCTCTGTAGTAATGTTTCACATCGGAGCTAAAAAAATCACCCTCTCATTGCAAATATTCCTCTCCCAATTCTGTAAAAAGACTTCCCACACCCACCAATGGGGTTCTGGCTTAATGAAAGCCAAATTGTTTCTTTGCTGACCAAGAACTTCATTGTTTCAGGTGTTCTGCTGAATTTGAACCACAGTTTTAGCCAGGACTCCTGTTTTAGAGCCTCCCACTGCACTGAGCATGAAAGGAAAGATTCAGAACAGCACAGGGAATGGTGCCAGCCAGCTCTTGAGGCTAATAGGGCAGGTATTTTCTTCACATGTAACTTAAGTACCCCTTTTATTTCGTTAGTTAGAGTAATTTACTTGACCCTCTTTTGTTCCTTTTTTTTCAAAACAGGGATTCCTCCCTGGATCACATGCCCATAGCAATCTCAGAATCAGTAACTGCTGCAAAACAACAACAGCCACATCCTGAGAAAGTAGCAAAACAGATCCAGAGTTACACAGGCAGATTCCTATATTTAGAAGTAGTCACCAACTGGTACATTTTACTCACTTCTTTACATTACCAGCAGCATGGCTTTGCTTTACTTCCCCAAACATTATATAGTCTAAAAGGAAATAAAATGTCAGGAAAGGCTTAAATGAATCATTATTTCAACAAGTGGTACAACAGTTCAGTGCAGCCTGAGAACAGATCCCTGGGTTATTTCACAAATAAACGATCAGCAAGATCACACTACAGCAATTATTGGCCTAAAAAGGTGAAGTCCAACATTTTGAACAGCTTCCAGGAGTGAGTAAGTCCAAATGGCAGCAGCAGAGGAAGGATATCGAGGTTGTCTCTCAGGCAGCTCATCCTTTAGCTCGTCAGGAGAAATACCCTGGTGACATTAAACACAAGCAATATTTGAGCAAGTATCTTGCACTGGAAGGTTAAAGCAGGGTAATGGGCAGTGAAACACCTGTAAGGCAGATGTTCACCTACAAGTGAACTGGTAAGGATCTCCCAAATTACTACAGCAGTTTAGGAAGAATTGTGTGCCAAAAGACTCCTATGACTAAACACAGAATTAATGTTAGCATGAATAATCATGCCTATTTTAGGCATAATGAGTTTAGCAAACATTTTTGGCTCTAGCTGGCTATGCTGGCAGCTACCATGCTTTGCCAACCCTAGTGCTAAACAGAAATAAGCAAGCACACACGATGAAGTCAGTTAAAATAAGGTACATAAATCTAAAGTTTGAAAGATTCAGTCTTTCCTCCTTCAGCAAACAAAAGAGTCCCCATGACATTTGAGTGTTACATTAACATCTACATTCTAGGGAACAAGAGCTATGGTTAATGCTCAAATCCCTGGGAAGGATTTAATTTTGCCCTATGGACCATTAAGAAACACCACACACTGGGCTGACCTTATTATGCCACCCATCAAATTTAGAGTCTGCAGGGGATTAGCAATCCTGCTTCTAATTGATGGCAGACCAGCTCAGAGGCAAATGTGCAGATCTACGTGGAAACACAGCAGAAATCTCTTCAAAAAGCCAGCAGGTGCCAAAGACACTTTTTACATCGTTAGAACAGCTTTAAAATAACTTTTTTTTTTTTGTGCAATTAATTAGTCAACTCAATTGCTTCTGCATAGTTTCACTATTAATGGTGCTGTGCTTTACATGCAGAGTGACCATGCATTTAAATAAGCTCATGACCCAAATTAGATTAAGAGTTTGATAACAATTTGAAACTAAGGCAGTACCTTAGAGACAACAATACATTGCAGGCTGAAGATACTCTTATTTACAATTCATTTAACAAACCTCATGCTCCTCATCCAGCACCACCAACTGCTTATCCTTGTCGATTTTCACTATAAATCAAAATAAAACACAGATCAATAGGTTTTTTAATCGATTTATACAATGGATGCATGAAGCTTTTTAGCACTCAGCAATTATAGTCCTTGTTTTTGTTCTTCAGTGTATCCCATGACTTCCCAAAATCATTTAACAAACAGTGGTAGACTCTGAGCCATAATTAAATATAAATACTCTGCTAGAAGCAGATGGAGACTTTTATCCTAAGAACAGCACTACTTTATTGTTAAAATTACAGGCAGAATTGGAAATGCTGGAGCCCAGAGAACAAACACTTCCCTGGCTCATGTTAACCTGATACAGCAGCAACCTCACACAGGGAAGAAAAGAGGAGAGAGGATTTTCTGACCATTTTTGTCAGGCATGTTCAGAACTTACTTATAATGGCAGCATTGTTGGTCTCTTTGCGAAATCGGAATTTTCTCAGTTTCTCCACCAGGTCTTCAGCAACATCACAAACCACCAGAGATTCACTCTGCAAAAAGGAAATGGCAGAGGGGAGGGAGAGATAAATCCTTCTAGAAAGTGAAACAGACCAAAAAAAAAAATCCCTGTGTCACACGTATCTGTACATAAACCCTACTGAAGAGGGCCTGCACGGAGCTTGTCCAAAGCTTCAGAGCATCATATAAACCAAAAAAAAACATGGGGGAAAGCAAATATTTTTTTAAAAACCCACATTAACAGAACATTTATCTATTTTAATTTTCCTCTTCAAAGTAACACAGTTAACTAGAAGTATTTCATTAGCTACTCCTGAGGTGGGATTATTCTCAGAGTTTTCGGAAGTAAACTTTGCACTTCAGAAGTAGATTTTACACTTATACACTTAACAGTTTTACATTTCATTTTCCAGACCCAGAAATAAGGGAGTCCCTTAGAGTGGCAGCAAATGGGATCAAGTAATTAAAACATTTGACATAATAAGAGTTACTATTAGTATTTAAGAACAACATTGTCCTTGTTTATTTTTACCCACAAAAATATTGACTGCAGTTCTGAGATTCATACACACAGAAAGAGTTTCAGATATTTTAACCCAAAAACATGCAGCCATTTCCCCCTGTGCACACCATGCTCTCAGAAGAGATGCTCAGATAACATATTAGTCATCACACTGAAGATGAGGAAGGAAATTATTGTTTCACAAGCAGCCATGCAGGTTATCTTCCCTTACACTTGCAATTTCTGAACTGCACCAAGCCAACCACTGCCATTTCCTGAGCAACATTTTATACACGCAACCTCCATCACCAAAGGATTCATGCCAGCTTGATAAAGAAGTTACTAAAAATCTGCAGCTTATTTGTGAACTCCCAAGGCATCAAGAACTTTGTACCAAAGTAACTGCATTTCAAGGTTTCATTAAAAAAATTCCTCAGATAAAAAAATTGTGCAAGATTACCAATCAAAAGCTCTATTAAAGAGCTCTTGCACTGAGACAAATCACTGCTTTTAAACCAGAATGTCACTATTTAAGCTCTCAGTTCTGTCTCCTCGTGTTCAACATTGTGAGGTTTCCCTCAAAAAGCAGATAGGTGGTTCTGCTTCCTCACTTCCAACACTCCACGTTTGTTGTTGCTCCTGAAAATATTTCCACCTTGACCAAATTCTGGCACAAAGTCTCATCCCTGTGCTTCCTCTAGACAGCTGGAGAGGAAATCAGGCTCTGCTGTGACAGCACAGTTCAAGCACTGCCTGTACAGCCTCCCTGATTTTGCTTGTATCCCCTAAATGTCAAAGTTTGTCCTTAGCTCCCTCTGATCATTCCTCTGGGAGGGTCCCTCTGACCCAAACAGGTTGAACTCAATGTTTTCACAGTTCTTTTCCAACCTAACTCATTCTGCATTCTGTGAAATATCCCTAGTACCCACTCTCACTCATTCAGGAAAAAAAACCTTAAAAAATACTTAAAACCACAACAGAATTCAGGGTGCATTTCATAGTTAAAGTTATATTTCATACAGAATGTCACTAATACCCACTCTCACTAACCCAGGAGATCCCAGTTAAAAACCCCAACAGGATTCAGGGCTGCATTTCAAAGCTGAGGTTATATTTTATATGAAATGCTCTTTTGTAAAGGAAGCTTTTCTCCTAGTCCTCTGGGCTCACCAGCTTCTCCCAGCAAACAAGCCATGCTCCTGCTCACACCTGCGCAGCCACAAAAACACAAATCCCTGAAGGAATCTGAAGGAAAACACTTGGTAACATCAGATTCAGATTGTTTATCGGGGCTAAGCCGGCTCACCAACGCTTGGCTTAACAAAAACTCAAGGAAGCCAAGGCAGGATTGCTGCACAGACACGGACACACCTGCCAGCACCGCCGAGGGGATGCTGCTGCTGCTGCTGCTCCCCCCAGGACTGCACCCACTGCCCTCACCGTCACAATGACAAATAAACATCAATTTCCCAAAGTGCCTCAAGCACGACTCTCACTAGAGAGGCACACAGCAAAACAGCCCAAGATTTGATCAAATTTGGTTTGTAACTGCTCGCTCCGCAGGAGGGTTCACCTCCCCAATGCTTTACTAAAAGCAATGTGCATGACGCTTCCTTTTTCCACAACCATTTCTTTACCCATTAGGCAATATTAATGCAAAATACGCCGCAGCATTCATCCACCGGTCCTTGTTTCTCCTGGTCTGTTCCAACCAGCAATCACAGCTCAAGTCCACATTCACCACTCGCGTGAATTAGTTTAATGAGCAACATCAGTGACTTAGCTCGAAACATTACAAGACAACCAATAACCAGGTGCGATCAAGCCATCAGCCGTTTCACAGACACATAGTCAGTTCCTGAGAGGTCAGATCACGGGTTTTCCTGTTGGTTATTCTATCACTTCCCTATCGAATACGTTCTGGATCAGCTAACTGTGCATTATCTCAGCGGGGTGAGCCCCTCCCGGCCGGACCCCCCGCCCCTCACGGATCCCCTGGGTCTCCCCTGAGGGAGCGGCGCGCGCTCCCCCTCTCACCATCTTGGCGCGCGCACCAACCGCCGCCGCTCGCGCGCCGCCGCTGCCTCCTCCTCACTGGGTTGCAGCCCCCCCTCTCACTGCGCCTGCGTGACACAAGCCCCGCCCCCTCCCTCTCCCTCTGACCAATCCGCAGTGCTTTCCCGGGGTGGGCGGAGCGGCGTCATGCGCCTACGGGCAGCGGGGAGGTCCAAGGCAGCCGGGCGCGGGAGGGCGGGAAAATGCAAGATCACGTGATACAGCAGCACCACGCCCTTCTCCGTTGCCGTGCAACCTCGGCCACGCCCCTTCCCGTTTCTATGGCAACCCGCGGGCTCGTCCTCAGGCGCCATTTCGCTCTGAGGGGATCTGGGGGAAACGGGGCGGGATGGGGTGGGTTCGGCTTCACAGCTCTTAATGTGCCTTCAAAAGGGTAAGGACTGAAGTTCTAAACCCTGGAATTGAAGCATGAGGTGAATCAGAAGTTGTGCTGCTCGCAATACTTATTATGTGTACAAGTGGAGTGTAATTGTGGAAGTCATGCATGGTCTCCAGCACACAAGTCACTAATAGGAGCAGCCAGAACAGGGCACACACTGCTTGTCCATAATAGGGTCTTGGTGTGAGGCTTTCCTGATGCTGGAGTGAATATTTGGCCATTTCAGCCAGGCTGCCCTGGGAAAAGCCTGACAGACAGGACATGGGGCAGGCAGGAGTCTCTGTGCCCACCTGAACACAGGGACATAAGGCACAGCAGGAATGGGGACACAGCAGGCACCTCTCCTCTGGGTTTCACAGAGTTCTTGGAAGGGTTAGGATTCAGAAAAGGCAGTTTGGGATTGGAGAATGCAAAGGATGTAGGCACAATAATCCTTCTCTTGCTTTATAAAGCCTTATCCAGTCACCACAGCTGGTGGAGGGTAGTTTGTATGGATATCACATTTCAGTGCCTGGAACAGTGCTTTGATTACCTGGAGCAGGAGGTGACTCAGCTGCTTCAGGAGCTGGTGCAGGACAGCCTGGGGCAGAGTGCCAGGCCTTGGGGACCCCTGCTCTGGACTGACTTGTAACAGTGGCACTTGTGGGCTGCTGCTGAACTGCTGCTCCTGCCTTTAAGGCTCTGGATCAGGCACAGAAGGGCAGCCACAAGAGATGAGGCACAGAGAGCCAAGGCCCAGCGAGCTGAGGCACAGGCGAGGAGGCGCAGGATGGAAATCAGGCAGAGAAGGCTTCAGTTCAAGAGGGCCTTCAAAGACCTGAAGAAAATGTTGAGAACCACGAAAATGATAAAGAAGTGGACACGCTGGTTCAAATGAATAGGAATACGAGCAGGAGGGTGCAGGTGAGCTGGGCAGGCTTTTGGAGGAGCACAGACAGTGGCCTGTGTGAAGAAAAGCTTCCTGCTGGAGATGCTCTTTGGGCTGGCCAAGGCGAGCCGCACATCTCTGTGAGCAGCCAGCACACAGAGCTGAGCTGGGGCAGAGGCTCAGGGCTCCTGCCAGACCCTGCCCCTCCTCACTGCATCTCTTAACTCGATCTGCATTAACTGCATCTAGCAATGCTTTTCCATGCAGAGGCCTGCATTTCCTTGATGACGGAGCCATTTGAAGGAGGATCGGGCCTGATGGATGAACATCGATTTCAATAGGGGAAAAGTTTAGAAATTACTCTTTATTTTTACTGTATTTAGATAACTTTTTGTATAACTATATTGTATAATACATTAACTGGTATTATTTGCAATAATATTTAATTCTTATACCTACAAGTTAGAAAAATTGTAATACTAGAATTGGCATATTTCATGTCACAAGTGTCATAGAATATATAATAGCTATAGATATAGGAGCTGGAATAAACTGTCAAAGTTGTTATATGTATATGGATACAAATGTTATTTTGATTTTTGGTCAAGTATCTCAATAAAGTTGTCTTTATTTTTTCATATGTGACGTTTCATGTGTCTGTGCCAACCCTGGAACCCTGGGGCTGCCATACTCCCACTTCATCCCTGGCAGCCCCATCCCGGCAGGCTGAGGGCAGCGGCTTCACTGGGTGCCGCCATCCATGACTTCCCCCTGCTCTGGGCAGACTGAGGGCAGCGACTTCACTCACTACCACCATGGCTTCCCTCTGTCCCGTTTATGGAAGGCTGAGGGCAGCGGCTTCACTCTTTGCTGCCATGGCTTCCCCCTGTCCCTGGCAGGCTGAGGACAGCGGCTTCACTCGTTCCCGCCATGGTCCCGCCCCATCCCTGGCAGGTTGAGGGCAGCGGCTTCACTCGGTGCCGCCCCGTTCCTGGCAGGCTGAAGGCAGCGGCTTCACTCGGTGCCGCCCCGTCCCTGG